GTAACCTATAATGCAAATACTATTCTGAAGTGGGATTGAACCAGTAACTTGTGAATGGTGACCTGGAAGCACACCTACTGTGCTATTGATCCACAGGTCCATATAATAATATATATTAAACTTGAAAAGATTTTTTTATTATAATTTGAAATAATCTATCTATTAATATTAATATTAAAAATTTTATCAAAGATTAAAGTCAAAAAAGAATTAAATTGAATTGAATCAGACAAAAAATAAAAAATAAGAAAACTAAAATAAATTGAAAAACTTTTTAAAGTCAATTAATTTATAATAAATATTTTATTAAAACTAATAAAAAAAAAAAGTTTTTTGATAAACTTAATATATAATAAACTATTCATACTTTAAAAAACTATTCAATCAACTCTTTCTGCTGATCCTTTAACCACATACAAAAAAGATGTTCGCAAGAAGTTTTTATACTTCCTTGCTAATAAAGTCTTATTACTTTCTTTAAACCAACTCAAAAAGTTCTTTCAGAACCCCCTTACTTTTTCTCCCTCTTGTTTACAGCCTCCTTTAAATAAACTGAACTCTTGTGGTTTGTAAAGTTCAGCTTTCCCTTTACTACCAATGACAAGAAAGTTCCTAAAGGAAAAAGAATCAACTGTGAAGTACCTTTCACCTCTTAGCTATAGTGGAAATAACAGAGATTTATTTCAATTAAAGAACTCATTTTTCTATTCTTCGACTGGAGTTGTAGCCTCTTAGAGCTAGCTTTTTCATGGCTTTCTGAGAAATTTTGCCTAGTCCAACTTTACCCTGAAATTTTGAGTAACACAAATCTCACTAATTCTGATTGGATGACATAAAACATGTTGAACAAGATTGATAAACAAGCTTCTATTGATTACTTCATATATCTGAATGCATTTTCTCAACTCCATAAGAACCTGGGGTCCATTATAAGTCATATGTGTTGATATGAGTGAATATAGAACATGCTACTGACATATTATTGGATACAAGAAAGAGTCTGTCCGACCATAGTAAAGGTCACAAGATGCTTGATTGATCTTTTCTCAAGTCAAAGCTGCCTACATTCTAATTGTATGTCAGGTAGGTTCCAACCTCTATTGTCCAGAAAGTCTAAATCAGAGAAAACATGGAGCAATTAAGGATACTCAGTTGTAAAGCTTATGCACAAAGTAACCCAGGAAGTTTTTCATCCTATCTTTAAAAAATCCTGAGCTGGAAGACTGAAAGGTTAACACTATTACATCAATTAAAATTTGAGTTCAAAAATGTTAACAGTGATATGTGAGCCAGCCAGAATGTCTGAAAGATTCTTATTGATCATTAGTATCAACAATCATCAACAGGGTATGTCGACTACAGGACTAGGTGCTGTCCTTCATATAAGGAATTAAATCTGAAATAAGATGCACAGATGGATAAGTATACCTATATTTAGATAGGAATGGATTTAATTAACAATATACTGAGAGACTTTCAAGTCGATCATGCAGACACCAATATATCACCTGGGCCTTCATGATTACTCCCTCCTCATAAGCCTTAAAACTATACAGTCTTCTCTTTGGCCTCCACCTTATTTTTGTAAAAGACTCAGTAGAAGTTTTTCTTCAGACCTTTTCATGAGGGGAATTTGACAAGCCAGGAATATGCCAAGAAACAAGACCGATACATTTTACATGACTGTTCAATTTTTCTTTTATTTTTTTTATTTTCATTTATGACACCAGCACACTCAAGGAAAGCTGGTTTTTCTTTGAAAAAAAAAAGTGCAATAAGCCTTGAAGTAGCTTTAGAATAACTTTAGCTTATCATTATCTTTATTTTCCCCTAATATACATTCATATATTTGTACTTTGCATAATATAAACTTGTAATTTGGGATTTAATAAAGTTAGGTATGAGCCTGGCAAAAAAAAATTCATACATTAGGTATTTAAAAGAAGAAAAACTAATATATAGTATATTTAAGAAAGACTTGTTCAAGATACAAAATTTATTATACTAATACAATATAATTCAATTTCTATTGAATTATATAAAAAACTGAAATTTACTATAAATTACTGTATCTGTATTTATTACAAGTAAATATAAAATTACTATTTAAAGCAAGTTAAAACTAGATATATTTTTGATATAAAAATTCTTATAAAATAGTAAATATTTCAAATAATATATAAAAAAACTCTTTTCATTGATTCTCTGACCATACACAAAAAAGATGTTCACAAGAAGTTTTTATACTTTCTTGCTAATAAAGTCTTAATACTTTCCTTAAAACAACTTGAATATGACTTCAAGAGTTCCTTCTACCCTTTTCCTATTGTTTACAATTTTCTTTATTCAAAAACTTGACTCCTAGTGATCAGAAAAGGCAAGTAACATCTTTGATACCAATGACAAGAAAGTTTCCAAAGTAAAAAGAACTAACTGTAAAGTATCTGAAGATCTTTCTAACCTTTAAAGCAAGAGGCTTATAGAGGTTTTCTGTAATAAAAAGGCTTATTTTCTTCCTTTTTGACTGTCTTGATCCTCTTAAAATTTTTATTTTCACAGTTTTCTGAAAAATTTTGTCTACCTCAGTTTGATCCTAAAATTTGAATAGCACAAATTCTTATCAAAGATGATTGGCTGACATGAAATATGTCAATTTTTGAATATAAAAAAGCTCCTATTGGTCATACTCACATGTCTTGATACATTATTGATAATGTAGAAAAGAAAGTTTTAGAAAAAATGTTTCTTCCAATTGTATATGTTCAATTCTCAAAAAACAATTATGATATCAAAAGGCAAGCAATGGATAGGAAAAGAAAATCCAACTCCCATTTTTTATTAAGTTTCTCAAATAGTAAAAAGACTTTCTTGAACAAAAGCTAAGGTCTCCAAACTTCTATCCCAATCAGGCAAAGTTCTTGAAAAGATTTAAGGCAAGTGATAGATAAAAAAAGAAAATCCAACTCCCATCTCTCATTAAGTTTCTCAAATAGTGAAAAGATTTTCTTGAACAAAAGTTAAGGTCACCAAGCTTCTATCCCAATCAAGCAAAGTTCTTGAAAAAAGATTTTTTTATTCTGATCAGGCAAACTCTTCCATAATATGATGTTGACTCCAGTAGTATTAAGCAAATCTATATATCAGCAGAAAGATAAGTTCCTTAAATGTTCTTCTTGAAGTCACTTTCAGAAATGATTAAGTTTCTTAAATATCATTAAGCTTAGAGAATATCTCAATCAAGTAAACTCTTTTCGAGAGAAAATTGTGAAATGGAGTAAAAATCTTTAGGAAGACTTTGAATTGTATTTCCTTTCTCCTTTTTTCTTCAGTACCAACTTTAGCAATTCATCAATTTTTGAAATAATAAATAGTGACAAACTATTAGTAATGATCCTGGTTGACTTAGAGACTAATACCAAACTATTAGGAGAGTGTAATATTGTCCTCAAAATTTAACTTAAAGTACCTAGATTAGACTTAGTTTTGTTTAGTTCAAATTAGCTTAGTGGATTTCTCATATTTTTTAAGTAATATAGTCCTTTAACTAATAATGTACAATAACAAGTTAATCATATTGTGAAAGTCTGTAAACATTATAGTATCTTTCAATATCTCAATAAAGACATATCATTGTGACATGATTGTGGGTTAAAAAAAAAAATTTCAAATAATATATAAAAAAAAAATCAAAATTAAAAATAAATAAATTTTTTAAATAATTATAAAAGAAAAGAATATTTTAATTAGATAAATTTTATTAAAAAAAGATTTAGATCTTAGAGTAAGATCTTTAATATTTTCTTTTTATTTTATTTTGTTTTTTTTTTTGCAAATATACTTTATATTTTTAGATATTCTTGGTTACTTTTTTTTTAATTCAATTCTTTTATAATTTTTTTTATTCAATAATTTAATAAAATAATCAATAGTAACAACCTGTTAATTAAAAATCACAAAAAACTGATTTAAATTCCAATATATAATTTCTAAATTATTAATATTATATATATAATATAAAAAATTTTTTTTATTTATTTAAATTCATTGAATAATATATTATTCAAAAGTTCTAATAGTAAAAATCTAATAGTAATAAAATTATTCAAGTTTAATTATCAGTTATAAAACTATAACTATCTTTAAAAAAATTTTAAAATATTTATAACTTTATAATTAGTATTAAACTTGAATGATTTTATAATTGTTAGATTATTTACAATTTAGAACTCTGAATAATATATTACTTATTAAATTTGAATAAATATTTAAAAAATTTTTAATTAAAAAATAATTTTTTATATTGTATATATAATATTAATTACTTATGAATTATATATTTGAATTTAGATTGAATTTTTACAATTCTTATTGTAATAATATATAGACTAGGAATTTTTACTCAAGGTTTATTATGAAATAATAAATTATTCTCAAAACTAAAAATTATTTACCAATAACAAGTTAATTAAATTTGATAGATAATTTAGCTATAATATATATCATTCAAATAAATATATATTTATATATTCTTTTGATTAATAAACTTATAATCTAACTTGGTCACAAATAAATTTTTTTTTTAAAAAAAAAAAAAATATTAAATCCCTATTTTTGAACTTTTTAAAAATTTTTTAAAATTAATTTTACAAAATAAAAATTAAATAAATATTATTTTTTTAAAAAAAATTTTGCTATAGTAAAAAATTTATCCTTAATAATTTTTTTAAATTAAAATTAAAATTTTGAAATAAAAATTATCAATTAAGTATTATTATTAAAACTTAATAAGGTTATAAATTATATACATTTGGAATTAAATAATTATTTATAAAATTCTTTTATGATTTATATTATATTGAACGGAGCTGAACTAAACCGACCATAGAATAATCTCGTAACACAACCAGATTTTATATAATTAAACGATTTTGTCAATTCATACAGCTTAGGCATCACCTAAACATGGAATAATTTAATAGCCATGCATGGTTTCCTTAATACTAACCTCTTTGAAGTAAAGCAAATGAAGTTTAATTTAAAGTTTCATTCTTGCCAACTCGGATTTCCATTGCGTAAATTACAAAATACACATTCGCCTCCGTTGTTCATGTAAAAAAAAATTAGCCTCACATTTCGTTGATAATTCGGAGTTTATCACATTCGTGCGAGTTTTTCGAAATCAAAATCACGTGAGTAATGCGGAGCAAATGTTTGATGGAAATTAAGAATTTGACTCATTACAATTTGTAGGAATTAATTTGTGCGTAATTGCAGTAATTATTATTTTTTGATTTTTTTTTTTTTTTTTTTAAAAAAAAAAAAAATTCCAAAGCTTTTTTGACATAATGTGGTAAATATTACATCGTGAAAAAAAATGTGGATGAATGATTTGTTGATTGGAATTTTTTGTAAGTAAAATAATTTTTGAGAATGTGAAATCGAAATTATATAATTTCACGTCTTATGGGTTATAATAACGATGATGTGATAATGATATATAGATTAGGAAATAAAACATGTCAGAAATTTAAGTGACCGGGAATGATATATCTGATAATTCTTCTAAAATAAAAATATAATGTATAATGATAGTAGGGTAAGTCACTTTTTGTTGGACTTGAAAAAATTTTTTTTTCCAAGTCAAAGGCATATAAATATAACGTAAACATATGAGAAATTAGGGAGAAAATATCTACAACGAAGAATTCCAAAATAAAAAGGTTTTGCAATAAATATTTATAAGAAAAAAAATTTCAAGAACTGCTTACAAAAAAGAGTTCAGAGTCATTGGAGGAACTCGAACGTAAAACATTGAGCAAAAACGTGCAAGCAGCAAATGTCATAACCTACAAATATCATATGTAGCCACCATTCTCAATAATATTATTGTTGCTCGTCCCGTTGGTCTGGTCTAGATCTTGACTAACATTGTTTCGAAGATCATCCTCGCGATCCTCAATGCTACGACTTTCTTCACTGCTACCCTCTTCGCCATTATTTTGAATCTCCTGGTCTTCCAACGGTGGTACCAACCTTGGCCTATAAATGCTGCTGGTGCTACTATTGGAATCATTCCTTCTTAATCCGGGTTTTTCTTCCCTCAGCATATAATCTCTCTCGATGATATGTTCACCATAACCATTTTGAAGATCATATCCTTCTAGTTCCAAATTGTTACCTCCACGTCTTACATATCTTCGCTCCATATCGGGCATGGGAGTTTGACGTTTTTCAATTGGAGTTTGGGTTTTATCCGACGGATATCTACGAGCATATTCGTACATTCGCGGTTGTTGCCTAGAAGTTGTTGACGCCGGACTAGCGGTAAACTCGTCATTACCGCCGCGTAAGGCATAAGACCTCCCGGATGAAGAACGATGTAACGATGATACAGATGAGACGGATGTATTTCGAGCGTGGTTGGTCGGATGCATTGGTTCCTCCGTGCGTATATATGAAGAAGGGCGAGAATTTATTCGTTGGTAGGTAGAGGATGGTGTGTTGTTATTCAAAGATTGATTACCATATTTCTGCAAACGTGAAATTTCACCACGGTCGTAATATACTCGGCCATTTGAGTTGGAAGCATCGTAATTAAGAACCGAAGGTGGAGGGGGTGATGGTGATGTATTTTGTTGCGTACCAGAATACGAGCCACCATATGCACCTATGGAAATCCGTCGACTACGATATTCAAGAACGCGAGACGAAGGAAATTGTGAATACGGAGGGTCGTTAATGTTCTCTGGTGGTAGAACAGGAGAAGGTGGTCGAGAGACACGATTATAGCGGGGTCTCTGTGGCTGACTGTAATAGGGTGATTGTTGATCGGTAGGAAGGACTCGGTGTGTAGAATTATCCATCTGATCGACAAAATTTTGGGATTCATTATTTATTTCGGTTGCGGATGATATCCTTGGTATGGGAGAGACCGATCGTGTTGAATGAGCAGGAGTTGGCATTTGCAAAAAAGTTGAGTCACTGGGGTAATGGGAATGCCCCCTCACGCCGAGGTCTCTTTCCAATGGAATTCTTTTGGATTGTTTCTTCGGTGCAAGTGAAGATAGCGCTAATATACATTCGGTGAGACTTCGGATCTGTTCATCGCTTGTCTTTAGCAGAACCTTCATAGAGTTTTCCAAGGTTTTATCATCCATTTGCGCTATAGTACCACGCAACTTCGTGTTAAGCATAAGTGCAGATGATACGACCATGGCCATCGAGTGCGACGGCGGAGGAGAAGAATCATCCAAGTATTGATCGGATGTTGCAAAAGCCTTCTCGAAAAAATCAAAGGCATTTTGCAAGTGCCTATTGTGTTGAGCGGCTGTTGAAGGTCGGCGATGCGTGCTGGTATTTGAAGAGCTTGCGCCGCCCTGTGAACTGCTAGGAGAAACAGCGGACGGCGATATCGATGAATCTGTGACATTTCTCTTTCTTCGTTGTTTCCTTTCTGATGCAGGATCTACCGAGAATCCAGTGACGAGCACGACCTCATGTTATTAAAATTTCTTTTTTTAAAAAAACTACCAAAAAACATAATAATTACCATCCTCCAGATTAGCATGTTCGGACTCTAGTCTCTGGATGCGCGACCTTAATACGCCGATTTCTTCCAATAAAGATTCACTTGATATTACACTGCAATTATCATCTTGTGCATCAGCGACCGCATATGATTCATCCATCTGCGTTCGAAGATTTATTTTGCTGGACTTTTCAATGTCATATTCGCCCATATACTTCTGAGCATGCTTTCGTCCGTTTACTAACGGCGTTTGTTTATCTCGCACCCTGATCCCTTCTTCGGAAGATCGTTCATCAACTAATTTTTGTTCAGTAATTTCGCCTTCCTCTTCTATCACCTCATCCATCGAATTAAAGATCATACTGGAAGGACGATTACCACGCCTATCATTCTTATAAATCTCGACTGAACTATTATTATTCCTCGCAACACGTAAAGGATTTCGACCTTCGCCCAGAGTAGGTGCTAATGGCATGTGTGCAGTTGAGATATCAAACTCAGAATCCGAAGATTCCGGCGTTATTAAACGATGTGACGAATTGTTACTTGTGTTTATGGTAAGGGTAGGATGATTTTTGAACCTCCGTCGTCGTACAGATAAGTCATCATCATCTCTATCCTCCAAGTTGCTAGACATTTCATTTGTGTTCTCGGAATCGGAATTGGGTTCCGCCGAGAGATACTTCCTATCTAATTCTCCGATACCATTGCTAGATGCTAGATCTTTTGTGTTACGATTAGAAATTTTTGATGACCGCTTTGAGGATAAGAAGGAGTCACCAATTGTTCGTGAATCATTAGTATCTTCCACCTCCAGCACATCGTTAAGATTCTTTTCATCGCTCGTTATTTCCGGTCGTAAAGTTGATTGCAGTTGAAAGCTAAGCCTTCGCCTGGACTTTAAACCATTGACTAGACTATCAATATTCTGGTCGTTTACATGCTGTGGAATAGTATCTAATTGGCTATTTATTGCAGTTAGAGCTTGAAGTTGCGTGTGCTGAAGCTTATTCATTTGTTCAAGCATCTGAAAGAGTAATGTAATGGTAAGCGTGTGTGAAGACGAGAACGGTAGACGGACAAGTTTACACAAATTGTAACAAGCAAAAAGGTGAAAGTGATTTACGCATAGTGCCACACAATTACCTCTCGATTTTTATTTGATAACGACGCGATCTTATTCTTCGTGTTACGAAATAAAGGATCTCCGTGTTCGCTTGACGTAGAGGCCGTTGTCATTATATTATTATTCTAAGGTAGGTGAACGGTTTAGAAAACATAAAAATCGTAAAAAAGGTAATTATTTACAAGTACATCAATGGAGAGATCTGAAGTTTATTGGAACTTGGAATATAGCCCAAGTCGTTGCGGCGGGGTGGGGAATTGGCTTGAATACCACAGCCAGGTTTTATTTACCCTTGTGACAAAAAAAAAAAAAAAAAAAAAAAAAACAAAAAAAGGTAGCTACTATATATAGGCTGTAGGGATGGCTTAGAGGCTAAGACGATAAAAGGAAGTAATTGGTGACACACTGAGATTACAGGGCAGAAAGAACAAGAATTTTTTGCACTTTATTGTTCAAAGGAATGGAAATTTTTATAAGGTCAATATTTTATGTGTTTACAGTTCGAAGGAGAATAAGCTAGAAGTAATTGTTGTTCAATGACGATATAAAAGAGTACGTGCTGTTTTTAGACATAGGACAGGGAGATACCGACACCAATTTTGGTGGGTGTGGTGAAAATCTCTGTCTTCGATAGTACAAAGCCAATTGGTGACCTATGAATTAATTAAATATATGCAGACATTGCAAATTTCGCCCACGACGATAATGACGATTTACAAATAGCGATTTTTTGATTGTAAGGATACATATTAAAAGATTTCGCTTGAGCAAAGAAAGAGAGAAAGGGTTTGACAAGTTCATAATAAACAAACTTGAAACATGATCCTACATTACACGTGACCCACAATGATGTCAAAATCGGTTAATTCCAACGCCCACTCCAGCCACAATGCAATTTAAACCAAAGGAAATATCCAGAGAAGAACAATTGCATCCAAGAAGCATAATTGCACGTGTCAATCTCTCAATGTAAACACAAAGAACGCTTCACCCATTGGACCTTTATTTCTAATTTTCAAAAAAAAAAAAACACCTTCGGCTATATATCGGAAACTTTCGCTTCGGCTTATCTTTAAATTCTGCAATTACCCCTTCCTTTCGATCTGCATGTGCGCAAACTTAAGTTTAGCAACTCATAGTTTCTTTTTTTTTTTTTTTTTACAAATCGCACATATGTATATGTTGACGAAAGTTAGAGAAAGATTGACAGATGCTGGAGTTCACCCCACTCCTCTGACCCCAGACAATAACGATATGCATTATCAAAGAGTTCACTCTAATCTTTTTCCAATTTAGCTATTGACTGATATGCTGAACAAAATTTGGCTTCTATGGCATCCTCCTTTTGGCTGCAATTAGCATCAGGCATATACATACGTACATATTTACTTGCGTACCACCCTCGAATGTGCGTATGCGTATGTACATTGAATTTATTGTTACGTACAATATCTTCCAGGGCCTCATTTTCGCACACACATACGACCTTTTGAAATCTTCGCTAAAAACAGCAAAACTCAGCAGATATCACCGTCGAATTCTTTTGTGTACGTAATTCGATCTTTTTTCTCTTTTTTTTTTTTTTTTCACGCTGATTTTTCTATCAAAAAACATTTAATTGCTGTTGTGTACATGAAATAAATTACCCTAGTTATTCCTATTTTCTGCTCCTTTCAAGTGTTGCCAACGCGATGGTTCGTTTCTAAAAACAACTTGTTTATGTGTAAGTTAACGATTACATAAGTGTAAACAATGATCAAATATTACAGTTCTCACCCTTCCTCACTTTTCATACATTTCAACCAAATGGAAAAGGGGTTTATAAATTCAATTGGGTCAGATAAGAGCCCATTAGCAATGTCTTTATAATGGGGGTAACATCTGTGAGGCTTTGGTAGAGGCTTGTGCCCAATGTCCAGTTTCTCATTGGTGACTAACCCTAGCCTCGTCAGAGGTCCTTTGTATTGTGGAACTTCGTAAGTCGGTTTATCGGAGTCGGAACTATTCATTATGCAATAATTGCAAAAAGGTTGTGATGAAGCTCCTTTTATATTGTATGAACAAGGATGGATCCAATCGTATCCCTTTATTATTTGTCACGTGGAGATGATCACGTCAGATTAGAAATAGCTAATTTATTAATACAGTGAATCTCGATATAACGGATATTCAATGTTAATTGTCCCAGTTTCGAATTTTACTGTTAGATTGCTTTATTATTATTATTATTATCATTGTTATTATTTATTAATATTATTTTTAATTTACAAATATACTATTATAGTGTCTTTATTAGAACATTAATAATATTTACAATATTATATAATCAAATCATAATAGTATAGTTAAAAGATTATATTACTTTAAAAATATATCAAATTTATTAAATTAATTCAGTATCATGTAAAACAAAGTTTTAATTGGATATTTAGATTAAAATAAAAATTTAAATAAAATTCTTTCTGTTGATTCTTTAATTGTATATAAAAAAGATATTCACAAGAAGTTTTTATATTTTTTTGCTAATAAAGTTTTGATACTTTTCTTGAAATAATTTAAAATATGATTTCAAAAATTATTTCTATTCTTTCTTTATGATTTACAAATTCTTTACATAAAAATTGACTTTCAATAATCAAGAAAAGTCAAGTAATACTTTTTAATATTAATAACAAGAAAGTTTTTAAAGAAAAAAAAAATCAACTATAAAGTTTCTAAAGGTCTTTATAATTTTTGAAGTAAAAGATTTATAGAAGTTTTATGTAATAAAAAGATTTCTTTATTTTTTAACTGTTTTGATCCTTTTGAATTTCTATTTTTATAGTTTTTTAAAAAATTTTATCTACAATATATTAAGAAGTCTTTGAACAAATTTTTGTATCACAAAATTAATCAATATAACTTTTCTATTTTTAATTAAAATTTTATCAAATAAAATAATACTTATTGATTATTAAAGTGATTAGATTTTTTTTATAATACAATATCTTGCATCACCATAGTTTTTTTTTTTTTATAAACAAGCAAAATAAATATCTATATTGATGTACATGCAAAAACAATACAACAACAATAAAATAAAGGAATACAAAGCATTAAAGAAATACACAAAAATATGTATCTGCTAAAATATATAATATACAATAATCCTATTAAACTCAAAAAAAATGGAAAAGTAATCCAATAAAAGTATAGTGGCTGCTCTTCAAAAATCTCTTCTAAATATTCAATGCTATTAATAAAGCAAATAAAAAAAGATCCTTTGAATCAACAAATGTATTAAGTATTATGTTATTAAAAAAAAGATCACAGGTATTTCATGTTATTATTTAGAAATATTTAAATCAACTTGACTATGCAAAAAGTCATATCAAAGCAACACCAATACTCACAATAGTACAAATATAAAAGTATATAGAATATATACAAAAACATCTCAATTATAATTAAAATTAAATGATTATTTTTGATAAAACAATCTTCCAATTGTTCAGAAATATCATAAAATATTGATATAAAAATAAATAGACAGTATAATAAATTCCAAAAATAAAAAAAAAATTTTTTTTTTACTTGAAATAGGTTTTGAAAAAATAGTAAAACTAATCTTTTTTGTTTTGAAAATATAATAATAGATATATTTTATGAGAAATTTTGAAAAACCAGTTTTCCAAAATTAAAAAAATACTTGGAAGTTATTGAATATTTTAATACAACAATGATCCTAAGTATACAAGCTGCATAGTAAAAAAATTTTTTAAAAAAGAAATCTTCAAAGTCATAGTTGGATCTTTAAACAATCCTAATCTAAATTCTATAAAAAATTTATTGAATATTGTTAAAAATAATATCAAGAAACAATAGTCAAAAATTTGAATAAATTAAAGCAATATATAGTAGAAGAATGAGAAAAAAATTTTAACAGTACTTTACAAAATTTAATAAATTTAATGGGTAATCATTGTAAGTTTGTAATATATAAAAATGGTGATCTTATTTTAAATTAAAGTTATTACAATAAATTTTAACTTTTTAGCTTTCTAAAGCTATTATACATGTGATTTGATTTATTTATTGCAGTATTATTGTTATATAAAATTATCCAAAGACTTTTTAATATACTATATCTCAATTTAATTTTAAATTTTATATAATACAAATTTTTATTAAAGATAATTGACTGATACAAAACATATTAATTTATAAAAGAGTAAATAAGTCTATTGATTACACTCATATAATTTGATAATATTAGTAATAATTAAAAAAAAAATTCTAAAAGATATTAACTAAATAAATTCTTTAATATAGTAATTATAATATCAAAAAATATCAAAAGGATAATATAAAAGTTTAATATTTTTTCTTATTTAAGTTTTTCAAGTAATAAAAGAACTCTTTTAGAAAAAAAAATTAAGATCTTTTATTTTTTATATGATATTCTAATTTAATACTTATTACAATAGATTTATAATATTGTATATTATAATAAAAAAGAAATTCTTTCTAAAACTCAAATAAATTATAAAGAGTATTTTAATTAAGTAAATATTTTTTGAAAAAAAGTCACTGAATGGAAAAAAAATCTTTTGGAAGTACCTTGAATTATTTTTTTTTTCAGTTTTTTTAATATTTTGAATTTTTATTTTTTATTATATTTATAAAATATATATATAATTATAAGTAATTATATATATTAAAACAGCCATTTAAAAAACTCTTTCCACTGATCCTCTAACCACACACGAAAAAGATGTTTGCAAGAAGTTTTTATATTTTTTTGCTAATAAAGTCTTAATACTTTCATTAAAACAACTTGAAGTATGACTTCAAAAGTTACCTCTACCCTTTTCCTTTTGTTTACAAACCTTTTCACTCAAAAACTTGACTTCTAATAATCAAGAAAAGTCAAGTAACACCTTTGATACCAATGGCAAGAAATTTCCCAAAGGAAAAAGAACCAACTGTGAAGTATTTGAAAGCCTTTTTAACCTTTGAAGCGAGAAGTATATAGAGATTTTTGATAACAGAAAGGCTTATTTTTTCTTTTCCAGTCATTATTGGGCCTCTTAGAGCTATCGCTTTCATGATTTTCTAGGGAATTTTGCCTACCTCAGTTTGATCCTGAATTTTTAGTATCACAAATCCTCACCAAAGGTGATTGGTTGACATGAAATACATTAGTTTTTAAAATGTAAATAAGCTCCTATTGGTCATATTCACGTGTTCTGATGACGTTATTGGTGATTAGAAAGAAGGTTCTGGAAACGGTTGCCCTCAAAAAGTTTAAATCTTTTAATAAAAACTTCCATGACACTAAAAGACCAAGTGATGGATAATGTGGATTGCAAACTCCTGTCTCTTATCTAAGTTCCTTAAGTGGTGACAAAGCTTTAATAGAAAAAAGCTAAGGTCCAAATGCTTTCCTTGAGATATCCTAATCCAGTGCTCACTTAAATGAAAGACCAGTTGAATTGATTCGTCCGATGCCGCAGGTGGTGAAAAAGAAAATTTCTTCTGAAATTCAAGTGAAGTAAGAAACTATTCCAATCAAGCAGATCCCTTTTGAAAAGAGGTTGTTTTTATTTTTGGATTTTTTTGGTGGGCCTTGAATTGTTCCCTTTCTCCAATCATTTATTCCTTTTTCTCTTTTTAACTTAGCAATTTATTGGTTTTTGACAATCATCAGTAACAAACTGTTAGCAATAATCCTGGTAAATAGAGGTTATTACCAATCTATTAGGGAAGTGAAATATTGTTTCCAAAATCTGACTTAGAGTACTTTTGTATGAAGATGAGTTAGTCCCTTTGTGAAAGTCTATAAAATATTATAAATTTATTTTCAATTTTTCAATAAAGACATATCATTGTGACATGATTGCGGATTAAAATAAAAATAATAATAATAATAAAAAAAAAAAAAAAAAAAAAAAAAGTAATTATATATATTTTGATACTTTTAATTTGAGAAGATAAATAGTATATTAGGTGGATTTTAAACAAATTTAATATTTAAAAGTAGAATTCTAATAAATTTTTAATTTAGATTTATTTCTTAATAGTTATTTAAATAGTAAATCCAAATTAATATAAAGATTGATAAATAATTGTCAAATTATTAATTTAATTATATTCTATTCTAATAATCAAAGCTTGAAATTTTAAATAATTGATCAAACATAACCTTGATTTTTGAACTAGATCAGTTTTTAACTAATAAATTATGTCAATTTTTAAATAATAAATATAATATTTACAAAACAATTATTGATAAATCCAAATATTTTCCAGATAAATATTTATATATAAAAAAATCAAATTTAGAAATACTGTATCTACTAAATATTAAATCTATTGGTTAAATATTATAAAATATTTTATAAAACTATAAACTTTTGAAAACAATTTACAAAAAATAATAAAATTTAATAATTATTTAAAATAAAGCGATCTATATAATAGATATTAAATTGAAAGTGAAATATTCAATTCTCATAAAATATTAAGGATTTATTATATTATATCAATTTATAATCTTAATAAAAGTATTAATTTATATCTGAAACAAGTTCAATTTTTCTTTACATTTAGTAAACTTTTTGAATAATGTTATTAAATATCAATTGATCTTTATTTAGTAATCCAAATTAATTAATTATATAAAAAATAGATTTTATTTAAAATCTAAAAATAATGTAAATATTGAATTGTAGAATACTAAATTTTATTCAATTAAATATAAATATATAATCCCTATTTATATATTTTTATTAATTTATTTTTTTAAATATAGAATCTCAAATTGACAAGATTTTTACAAATATTTAATTGTAATTCTTTATTTTTTTTTTTTTAACCTGCAATCAGATCAGCATGATATATCTTTATTGTATATATACAAAGATATTTACAAGATATTTTGACTTTCATATACTAACTCATCTGTCATTAAAAACCCATTTCTTTAGATGCAATTTAAAAAATGATATTTCACTCCTTTATTAACTTG